CATATATATATATATATATATATATATATATATATTCAATTTAGACTTCTGAATGAGGTTTATAGTTTAGTAATAATGGTTAGGGTATATAATTTAGGAAGTTTTCCATTTAAGTTTTTCTTTAAGTGTATAAATTTGAAAATACATATTCCCTTTGTTTTTTTGTAAATTAATTTTTGAGATTTTAATGTTTTATTTTTTAATTTTTAGTACATTATGATTTTTTCTTTTGACTGTTAATGTTTATATCTTATTATATAAACCTTGATTTTCTAAGTCAGCCATTAACAAGATCGTGACACGTGTCAATTATAAACGTTAAGATGTTGACACGTGTCGTAACTAATGTTGTTAATATTTGGGTAAAATAGAAGTATTATTAACCCTATCAAAAAAAAGAAATATATAAAATAAATATTATAAAGAATTATATATTAAAAATTATTAATAAAATTAAACAAATAACCTAATTTCAGTTATGTCAATTTCGAGATTATATGTGGAAACTTGGTTTTTAAATTTACTAACTCACGTGATCATGATAAGTGTCAAGTAAAAACATAAGATGTCGCAACATGTTATATCTAATTTTGTTAATATTAAGATACAAATATAATTTTTAAACAACATTAAAAAATAATTATAAAAAATTAAAGAGAATTTTTGAGAAATACCCCTTTTGGTATACCCCTTTTCAAAAATACCTCCTTTATCTATCCATTTTCAAAAATACCCATGTTTAAATATGAAAAATTATAAAGTTTTATGTGGTTTATAAGATACTTCTATATACTTGGAAATTTGATACAAATGTTTTATAATGTTTAAAAGGTTTAAATCGTTTTTACAAGTTTTATAAGGTTTTTAAGTGGTTTTTAAAAGGGTTTATAAGGGGTTTGAAAGGTATTTATAATTTATTTTACGTTATTTATGAAAGATATATAAAAATTTAAACATATATAAAGGTAATTTGTGTGTATATTTATAAGTTTACACACATATTTGGATACATTTCAACATTTATAGTGGTTTTTTATAAAGTTTGAAATAAGAATATTTTTAAAAAGTGGTATGGAAAAAGGGTATTTTTGATAAATTAAATAGTAAAAAATTGATATTTATATAAGGGTTATATATTGAGTTTATAAATGAGCATTATAGTTTAGATTTTATAATTTAACGAGATTATTTATCGGTTTGGGTTTATTAAAGAAGAGTGAGATTTCTGTTTTACAATTAAACAAGGTTATTTCTCAGTCTGGGTTCATAAAGGAGAATTAGGATTTACATTTTACAAATAAATTAGATTTTGAGTTTAACTAAATACATAATTTTATTCATGATTTTTATTTTATAATATGTTATATTTGTTTAATTTTTAATTTCTGTATGAATGTATTATGCCATTGAGCAATTTCATTGTCTAATACATAAGGGTGAATAAAATATTTTCGAAAATAATATTTTTACCTTCAATTAAAGATAACAAAGTTCAATATAAATTGGAATATAGTAATTTTCAAAAATATTTTTTTAAAAAATATGTAGTTTTGTATAATTCGTATTTGAAAGATTTTTTAATGTTTTCCTCAACGATTCTATAATTTATTTTAGAATCTTTATGTTTATTTGCGTTGTTTATATTAATTTATTTACAAATGACTATATTTGTATTTAACATCATATTTTATATTGATGTTAATTTGAAAGAACTTTACCATCATATTAAATAATAATTAATTAATTTTCATAGTCTGAGAATGCTTTTTTGAAAAATTGAAAGTTAAGAAATATAATTTTTTACAAAATGGTATAATCATGTTTTAGAGGATAATTGCTAAATTAAGATTTTATAAAATATTTTAGCAATATTATGAGTAATGGTGAATAGCTCCCAAATAGCTCCCAAATGTTTTGGTGATTGTCAATTTGACATTACTAGATTTTTATAATTAACGTTTAATAACGAATTTTAAGAGATATATATATCTACATGTTTATTTGATACTTCAAACCAAATAAAATCTCTTTCCAAATGAAATTAATTTCTCTTATTTTTTTCCAAAAAAAAATTAGAAATTAATTTTTTATAAGGTATAATAAATTTTAATTTTAATTTAATTTTAAATAAAGATAACTCGTACTAAACTAGTTATAATATAAGGTATCATAACCTTAATAGCTAGCCATCTTGTTATAATCACTTGATTCAAGATGCTTTGAACTGCAAACCAAATATTTTGAAATCATTAGAGTCTAAACGCAAGATTTTAAGAACATAAATCTAAAAGTCGACAATGTGGAATTATACCTAGAGATTATGGTCAGGCCGATCCATGATTACTATTTTGAGCCAATGATTCTCTGATGTACTTGAGTGAGTCTACATTGGTCTACTTCCAAGTATGACCAATATTTCTGATCTCTCTTAAGTAGAATCAAGACATAGAGAATCTGTGAGCCATTGACACGTTACACAAAAGGTCTATTATATCTCCTTGATCACTGAGATATATACTAAAGAAATGGGTTTAGTGATGTTTGTATTTTCATGGGTCTATTATATTTCGAAACCTCATGCTTGGGGTATTACAAAACCAAGACTACCTCTTCCTTTAGCCGTAAACAATTAGATAGATCATACAACATAATACTAACCACAGTCTTACTTTGCATTGTGTCTCTCTTGTGTTGCTTCTTCCAAGATCATCTCAATTGTATTTTCTTCATACTGTGACAAAAACATTGAATGTTGTTATTTGATACTAAAGGGTTTTGAGACATTGCAAACGGTAACTTAAGACAAAACCATAGAACCTAGGGAACAAGATTATCTATCTGCTCCTCACATAGTATGCACATGAAAAAAATGTGCGTGATTCAGTTTCAATTCCTCCTTCGCATTCATCAGTAAACCTTAAAACACAAGTTCAACAAAAGAGCCATGAAGAACAGTTTTTGGCTAACTTGGTTATAAACCCATGACATCATTACTCTTATAGTCTAGCTAGAAGGCGTAATACTGTATATTTGAGTATCCTTTTAGCTTATCCCGCTTCATAGAAATAGTAGAGAATCATTAGAATATATTTATGCTATAAAACCAGAATGTTACATTTCATCATCAAAATTATACCAACTAATGGTTCAAGATTACGTATCAGACGCTGTTCTCCATTAGCCAATGAAAATATTCTCTCACTGGGCTTCATCCTTCATCTCACATAATCATACAACTGATCACACAGACACAACTTTTGGATAGAGGCAAGAACAGACCTCTTCCTCTTTAATAGTTTTGGCCAGCTTGTTTACTCTTTATGAGCTTTGTCCTCATCCCTACTAAGACAACAAACCAGAATTGAAACCAGATTAGGTAAATACTTCAACACCAAAGCTGTATTAAACAGTCACATTGTGCCAACTGTCAAGCACCTGGAACTTATTATACTCGGAACTGCAGTTACAGAGATGCCATTATCTATAAAAAATTGAGAAGACACACCTCAAGAAGTCCTTTCAAGAGTTTGATAGGGAAATCAGCGGTCTTGAAGTTATAGCTGTCAATTGGGCGGGCCGTCCATGGGCTTGTCCAGTCCAAACTATTATGGACGGACAATGGACACGCTATAGCTAATCATTGTACGCTATAGTTGAAGTCTTGGAGGGAATCTAAATTTCTCCATATTTTGATCCTAGCTAATTGAGATGTTTATAAGAAACGCTATAAAAGAAAATTGAAACTGGAAACAAAAAAACACAAGAAAAAGAAAAGGGGTTATGGGATACTATACGAGTGTCTACCATGTTGATAAGATCTTCAGGTTGTCTTGTCGCAAAGTATTCTTCTCACCGAAAAATGGGAGTTTAGGGCTATCAAGGCAATTAGGTAAGTCTT